AACCTTTCTGGGACATGGTCGAATATTCCTCTGAAGAAAGGCACGGGTGGAGTTGGCCTTTTTGGTGACAGTGTTGATGTTGTTGGTTCCAGCTGAGGTTCTTCTGCAACTCGACACCTAGATACTTTGCTGTATTTTTGTCATCTAGGGTTTCATTGAATAAGAGCCTATATACTTACAAAATAATACTACAAATTCAATAACTTAACCTTAGGTTAAGTTTTTGATGTTGACGCCGCCGCCGCCGCCGCCGCAGCCGTCATGCGGAAAAGCGGCGCCTATGTCTCGCTTTTTGCTACGCAGGCGAGGCAAAAATTGATTCATTAATTCTCATATTAAGTTGTGAAAACATAATCCAAGTCTACTGACCTGAAATGACCTTTGACCTTGACTTTGTGACCTGAAAGTCTACTCACATGATTGGAGATACTTGATAACCCTTTGGTCTAAGTTTCATTGAATAAGAATTTATACTTTCAAGATTATACTAAAATTCAAAAGTTTTTGATGTTGGCGTCGCTGTCACTGGAAAAGCGGCGCCTTTGTCTCGCTTTTTGCTACGCAGGTGAGACAAAAATAGTGTTTAAATAGGGTACATTCACATGAAAATGGGAAATGTACGCAAGTAATTACCGTTGGTGAAGGTGATGGGACAAACTATCACTTCAGAGGCGATCTGGATGTAGCTATATATTTCTGAAGCGAAGCTGAGGGAAGATAGCGTATTCATTCAGATCGCCGAGGAAGTGATAGTTTGCAATCGACTGAAACAAAAGGTGATTATTTGCTTTATTTATATTCCACATCGGAAACATTTCACTTCTTTCGTCATTTATGAGCTACAATTAAGTCATCAATTAACAGCTAGCAAACGGTGTACGATACGTACAGTGCAGGGCTGTCGATTTGTATCCGTGGTTGGGGGATGATAGGTGCCAAAATATTTTCGGCAATGGATCAAAGCAACCAAGAGGTAGAAGCGTGTGGCAGTTTGCACCCCTCCCTTCCAAGTTATTAAAGGTAAAGAACAGTATTGGAAACGCCCCAATTTCAAAAAATGAAATGGAAGCTCTTTATTACCAATCATGTGAAAGAATATGTTTTGACTAATACATGATGATACAAATTTTGCCGGGAAACCGCCTATAATTGATATATTTAGTAAATTAGTTTGTTTATTGGACTGTGAGAGATAAACGCACGTGTCGCGCACGTGTGCGTAGTCCCCATATACATCTTTCTGTGTACAGTGATTGTAACTTTACGAAGACTGGGCCAAATTTCTTATCATTTTGATGATTCCAGAACCTTGCAGTACACACCAATACTTATATGCTAGATGATCAACCTTTTCTGATCGATTTCACAATGTAATCGCATGACCATAACTTTTTCAAGTCACCCTCAATAAAGATAACATTTCAGAGAATATAAGAGTGGTAATTAAATTAATAACATGCTAAATGTTAGTCCTGACTCTTGCCTGCAGTGTAGGCCTACCAGACTGATATCATCTATTTTTAAATGAAATTTAGACATTACAAAAAAAAATCTAATGGTGAGGGATATCCACTTGTGAAAGTATTATGTTACCACTGGGCAAATGCATTAATAAGCAACTAGGAAAGGTTCATGTAAACAGAAAATTCTTTATTTCCTGGTGATAGAAACATACATTTTATGAATATTGATGTCTCCAAGCAACATACATCGTGAAACTACATCTCTCATTATATCTCTCCCACTCTCTACTTCTTTTTTGCACTTCGCGCTTAAAGCTTATCTGCCATAGTTTACAGGAGGGATTACACCGCCCTGCAAGGTCACTGGACAGGTGGTTATCTCATCAACTCAGCTCTCAGTTAACATAAGAAAAAGAGGATCATGGGGGACCAATGGTCACCGATAAGGCATTGTTTGTTATATAGAGGGCGCAAGTAGCTACAAGTAGTGCAGTGGGCCTTTAACATTTAGCTCGTTGCTTTTTAACGCTGCGGCTTTGCATTTGGCGCACTGCATTTCTATGATGCTGTTGATTAAATAATTGAATAAATTGATCAATTCCTGAGGAAGCCGTATGGGCGAGAAGTCAATTTATTCTTGTCTCATATACAGTTGTCTCATTTACTTCGTTTTCTATTTATATATGTATGTATTCTGAAAAAAAGATGGCAAAATGTGTATATTGATGGTCATCTTGCGAGTAATAACCATTAACTACCGGTACTCTCATCGGGCTCTCATCATTAAAAGTGCACCGGGTGCAACGCACTTTCACTGAAAATAGTAGTACTATCTTCACATTGTAACGAACTTTTCTTTTCCCATAAATGATGGGCGAATTATCTTTCATCACATGATTTACTTTTGACCAATCGTAGAGCAAGATTCTTAGTATGTGGAATATAATTTTAAAAATAGCAAAAATATGCATTTTTCCAGAGCCCAATTTGACTAGGGAGCTAGTACGAGTACAGAAGAAGTACTGCGTCAGGCGCGTAGCCAGGGGGCGGTCACCCCCCCCCCCCCCCAAAAAAAAAAAAAAAAAAAAAAAAAAGAGAAAGAGAAGGAAAAAAAGTAAGAGGACGTAGGAAGAAAGAGGGAAAAGGAGTCGAGAACGGTACAACGAATCGTCTTCTTTAATTTAATATAACGTCATAGCTTCCGCCCTTTGCGCGGGAGGGGGGGGGGGACTGAATTCAGACAAGGGAAATTCGGGAAGGTACAACTAATCGTTTTCTTTCTCTAATAATTTAATGAAACATCACAGCTTCCGCCCTTCGCGTGGAAGGGGGGGGGGGAACGAATTCAGACAAGGATTAAGAGTCAATAACGGTACATCGAATCGTCTCGTTTCTCTAATAAAGTAATGAAACGTCAAAGCTTCCCTCTCTGGACCCACCGCTCTTTAATTGATTCGCACATTTCGCGTGCTCACTACCGCCCCTAAAATAAAATCCTAGCTACGCGCTTGTATACTGCGTTATTACTGCAGTAGTACCAGTCTTATCATAAGCAGCGCAAATTTTAATGGAGGACTACTGATACTGTGGTAGTACTGTAGTAGTACCACGACTATAGGACAATTGTGCAATTGTACTGCGAGTACCATATGGGTACCACAATTATTGTGCGATAGTACTGGGGTAATACTGCAGTAGTACTGCAGTATACCACAGTTACTACAAGTACCATACAATACTTGCAGTACTTTTTTACATGCCGGTAATACATTGACAATGTCTCTATTATATAAAGGTGCCACAAAGTAAGGTGGAGTCACTTTATTTCAACAAAAGTTATCATTGTCAATAGCTGAATTACATTACATATAAGATGAAATTAGTTTTCGTCAGTTGCAGTGGAACAATTTTTGTCTATTGTGTTTTTTGAACAAATTAATTGAAATTTTACCTCTTTCTTGAACTTTTAAAATTGGATTAATAACAATAATAATAGCTAGTTCTTACATAGCGATTTATATTACCCCGGTCATCAGATTCAGGTTAACCCGCACACAATGTATGCACATTCTCCACTCCCTGGGGAGCATTCCAGCCAGGCGTTATTTTTACAAGCGCAAACTTGCTAATCTAAGCACATTAGCCTTTGCATCCTACGGGGTACCCATTAAACACCTGGGTGCAGAGTGGCAAATGTAGATCAATGTCTTGCCAAAGGACATTAGTGCCGAGTGGGATTTGAACCTCGGACCTTGTGATCCACAGTCCAGTGACATATCCACTCATCCACGAAACCCCTACAATGTTTTATTGGTTCATTTCTAACATGTAAAACAACTATAACTGGGACTAAGGATGCTTACAGCTCATCTTAAGAGCTTAGTGCAACAGGCCCCAGATTACCCATTCATCAAATTGGGTAGTCTTTCTACACCCCCCTCCCTCCAACATACACACGCACAGAACGACAGGCCTAAAAAACACATTCTGCAATACCAGGTACAGATTCATTTCTACTTTATCTTTACAAAAACATTATCTACATATTTAAAATTCAACAAGTCAACGCAAAGCGTAGCATCCCCTCGCAGGGTACAAATGGCCTATATAAGTCAGAACAAGTTACCTCTATTGGACTATACTATTATATTACTTGGCACGGAGGTTAACCATGTGTTCACATATATAATTAGGTGTTTTTGCATATTTAATGAGCTATGACCTTTCACCTTTGACCTACATAATCAGAAATCGAACTTATTGTACGTTTTTTGATACCATGTACTGTACATGTACCTAATTCACATTAAATTTCATTAAATTCGTCAAACATTACTCAAGTTATCGAATGGAAACCAGATTCGCATATTTAATGAGCTATGATCTTTGACCTACATACTAGGAAATTGAACCTGGGCTGTGTTTTGATACCATGTACCTTCATATCAAATTTCATTAAAATTTGTCAAACATTACTCAAGTTATCGAATGGCAACCAGATTCGCATAATTAATGAGCTATGACCTTTGACCTACATACTCTGAAATCGAACTTAGGCTGTGTTTTAATACCAAGAACTTTCATATCAAATTTCATTAAAATCTGTCAAACAATACTAAAGTTATGGATCGGAAACCAGATTCGCATATTTAATGAGCTATGACCTTTGACTTACATATTCAGAAATTGAACTTAGGCTGTGTTTTTATACCATGTACCTTCATAACAAATTTCATTAAAATCTGTCAAACATTACTAAAGTTATCGATCGGGAACCATATGTGTATTTTTTCGCATATTTAATGAGCTATGACCTTTGACCTTTGACCTACGTACTCCAAAATCGATCTTGGCCTGTATTTTGATATCATTTACCTTCCTTTTAAATATCATTAAATCCGTCAAACATTATTGAAGTTATCGATCGGAAACCGTATTCTTTCACATATTTAATGAGCTATGACCTTTGACCTTTGACCTACGTACTCCAAAATCGAACTTAGCCTGTACTTTGATATTAGGTACCTTCATATCAAATTTCATTAAAATCCGTCAAACATTACTGAAGTAATCGGAAACCAAATTTGTTACGGACGGTCGACGCACGGACGGAAGGAAGGAATAATAATAATAATAATAAAATCGTTACTTATAAAGCGCTTACCACCGAAGTCTCTAAGCCCTATAGACACAAAATAGACTGATATACAATTACATCTTATACAAAACTAAAAAAGCAAATAAACATATAAATTACAATACATATGGAATACACATCAAAGTGAATAGAGTTAAGTAATCATGAACGCAATTTTGAATAAATGTGTCGTGAGACTAGTTTTGAATAGGTTAATGGTTTGACAGTTTACATTTATAGGTAATCTGTTCCAAAGTTCAGCTGAAGCTTTGCGAAAGGAGCGATTACCATAAGAAAGAGTTGGCATTAGGAAGGACGGACGGCAGCCTTACTATAGCCCCTCCGACTTCGTCGGCGAGGGGATATTGTATACACTTCAGCTAAAACAAAACAGAGATATTAATCAATGGTCTTTAACTTTCCTTAAAATCCTTTGTGCATGAATTTAAACCAAGAGATCACAGAAATTCATGAAAGTAGTATTTATAGTCACTGGCACAGACTACTTGAAATTTTAGCATAATATTTAGTGTGGGTGAAACAGTTGCCAATTTCATGAGTGGTCCCGATTCTCAAAAAGTTTCATGCCGCAAAAAATTGAGATCCAACCATCACATTACTGAGCTTTTGAATAATTCTTACTGCAATAATGGCTGTTACTTGTACATTATAATTCATGAAAGTTTTTGGATTTACAAAATTTTGGTAGACAAACTAGATGTACATGTACTTGTACTTGCAAATATGTATTTAGCAGTTGAAAACATTAGTTTTCTGGCAATGTCATTTTCTTTGTCATTCTCTTGATGCCATGCCATTCACTGAGACTTTGTACATACATGTAGAAACAAAGTGGTCTTTACAATAAACTTAATATCTTGATATGATCTATGTCTAGGAGAGATCTTGTAGTGATATGTCATTTTCTCTGTCATTCCCTCAAAGCCATGATATTCACAGAGACAAAGTACATGTAGTCTTATCCAGATTTTGTCCAGAGGGTAGTAGTATTTGAGATGATCTGTGTCCAGTCCAGGAGACTGTTTCTGGTGATGTCATTCTCTGGATGCCATTCCATTCACACAAACTTTATGAACAGAGACAAAGTGGTCATATCCAGACTTGATGACAAACTTGAGATGCTTTGCACTAGAATTCTCCCCTGCAACAAAATACATGAAAGTGTTTGACAACAAGGGAGAAAGACAGCATCCTCTTAAATTTTCCCTTTATTGCAAAAAAATAAATACATATATATATATATATATATTACAACTAAAACAGAGTTGGCATTTATTAAAGTTTTGTTTTGTTCCTTTATTTAACTTGCATGTATTCAGCACTACAAAATACTGGTTAAGGTAAAAAAGAAAAAAGAAAAGAAGTACTCCCAACCTTTCTTCAACAAGGATATGACAAATATGGAGATGAAGATTAACACAGAATTGAACGCAAAAGAAAGTATACATAAACAAGGGTATTAGCAAAGGAGAGGAATTTAATTATCAATAAATGTTACGAACTTTCACTTACGGAAAACTCCTCCATTTGTAAGGACGCATCTGATGGGCATAGCTCTTTCTCACACATGGGTTCAAAGTTCACAGGTTCATTCTCAATACTGCGTTCCATGGCTAACCCTTTCACTGCATGTATACAGGTACATGAAATAAAATATAAATAGGAAAGAGTTACCAAAGGACTGTGCACGCTTTTACTACAGGACATTAAAGCTCAAGTCTACTCCAAAAATAACTTACTTTCAATAGAACCAGAAAAATCAGACAAACCAATCAAAAAAAGTTTGAGCAAAATCGGATAACTAATAAGAAAGTTATGAATTTTTAATGACATGAAAAACTTTGAAAATCACTACACAAATTGGCAACTCACTCATGAGTCTGTGACGTACATGTATGGTCCTCACTATCCACTAATTATTTTCTTTATATTGATAATATAAATTTCCTATTTTCACCCTAAGAATCTTATTTCTTCACACCAGCATCCAAGTTAGATTGTTGGTAATATGTTTTTGTGTGGATGCACAAATAAAGAGTAATTTTTGTCCAGTTAATCATGAAAAATTAAATTTTGATAAACTATTTTTTATAAAAATCAATAATTATGAATATACAATATTCAGAAAATAGTATCAATTTTTCAAAATTCATAGGTTTTTGGGAAATGTCATGCACGTAATATGATACAAATCATATAACCTGGGCAAAGGCATGGGGAAATCTAGTTTTGGGGGATAAAAAGGGAAATTAATGGGATTAAACTATATAAAGCAATTGATAAGTTGTTAGGACATGACGTCACAAACTGATAACAATCTTGGGAATTAGTGTTGTGTTTATCATCGTTCCATAGTTTTACATACTTTTTCAAAAATTCTTAACTTTCTTATTAGTTTTCCGATTTTGCTAAAAAAAAAATTTCATTGGTTTGTCTGATTTTTCTGCTTTTATTGAAAGTAAATTATTTTTCGAGTGGACTTGTACTTTAAGGTGGTGACAACAGATGGATGGTTTTGGGAGCACCTAAATATAAACTTTACCATTAATTCAACAAAACCTGAGATAAATTTGCTATCACCTTGTGTGGATTGTAACAAGGATTCTTTATGGTGACACTTGCGCAATATAGTCAGATGACTCAGATCTTTAACCTATCTTCTGGCTTTTTTTGCTTGGAAAATACCCTTGAATCTTGTATCCAATAGCATGAACAACTAATTGCCATAAACACGCGTATACATACCCTACATTGATCACTTTTTTAACCGAGTGACTAATTCAACCAGAATTATGACTTTGATATGTCAATAAGTTTATCAAATAAACACCTTCATATGGTATGTCTGAATTAATTCAAATCAAAATCCTCAATGCACTCTAAAATTACAATTTTGTTACAGAAATCACACTATTGGTATAATTGGGTCAAGGTGGCCAAAATGAGGGGGAGTTGTTAAAACAGATAAATACACTGTATAGGATGGAATGTTCTGGAATTGAATTTTGGCGTCAAAGCCATGTCCTTTAATTCTGGACAATACAAACAGCTATTTGGGCCCCAAAATTGCCAAAATAACCAAAACGTCAAGAGTGAGATCAATAAGAATTTTTTAGTTAAGTTTTTTTTTCTACGTGCAGGATCAGTTTATTAAAGGTAAAGACCAGTATTGGAAACGCCGCAATTTCAAAAATGAAATGAAAGCTTTTATTACCAATCATGTGAAAGAATATGTTTTGACTAATACATGATAACATTTTTGCCGGGAAACCGCCTACTAATTGATATATTTGGTAAATTAGTTTATCTATTAGCCTGTGAGAGATAAACTCACGTGTCGTGCACGTGTGTGTAGTCCCATATACATCTTTCTGTGTACAGTGCTTGTAACTTTACGAAGACTGGGCCAAATTTCTTATCATTTTGATGATTCCAGAACCTTTCAGTACACACTAATACTTACAGTGTATATGCTAGATGATCAACCTTTTCTGATCGATTCCACAACGTTTCTTTCACAATGCAATGGCATGACCATAACTGGTCTTTATCTTTAAAGCCCCACTGCACTACCTATAGCTACTTGTGCCCTCTATATAGCAAACAATGCCTAAGCGTGGTACCCATTGGTCTCCCATGATCCCTTATTATTATGTTAATTGAGAGCTGATTTGATTTGATAACCACCCGTCAGTGACCCAGGGAAGTCTAATCCCTCCTGGCCAAACTAGTGCAGATAGGCTTTAAATCATATATTCTACTCAATTTGAAGCCCATCAAACTCCTCACTGCTTCCTGAAATTTTGAGTTTGTTACAGAAATCATGCAAAGCGCTCAAACTGTACATATTTTCCCATGTAAATTGCTTGGATGTCAAGACCTACCCATCAATTGATACTGACTGAAAATGTATGATGTTACCTGATCTCGTACAAAATTGATACATTTTGGGCTATAAAGCGACCAAAATATTCACATTGTGGTTGATGGGGGTCAATTTGACCACTAGCATCAGGGCATATTTTAAAATAGAAGAGGCCTATCTAACCTCCTTAGCTGATAATAACGACTGGAAAAATAACCCCAAAATGACAGTGACAATGATGGTCAGTTTGAGCTCAAAAGAGGCAAAAATGTTGTGGGTTTAGTATGTTCAATACCACTGACATTGCAATTGGTGCAAAAGTTTACACTGGGTAAACTATTCAAACCTTCCCCATCAAAACTCATATCTCCTAGGGTAATTATGGATTATGAAATGAGAAATATTAGTTTGGCACGTTGTATGCACCATATTGCAGAGCTATTATGGACCCTCAGTCCCCCCCCCCCCCCCCCCCCCCCACTCCGGGAACGGAGGGACCGCATGCGCGTTCCCAAAATCTCTGGCTCATAACAAAGAAAAAGATCTGCCTGTATTGACTTTACACACCGGACTTTTGCTGAAAAAGGGGGGGGGGTGGTGCTGGGAACACACATATGTGTACCTTAAATAACACTGAGTGGGGGGGGGCAGGCCCTCAGTAATACAAATATTGCTGTTTTCTCCTTTTTGACATGTTTTAGTACATATGGCAGCAAGATAGTGACCTACTATATAAGCATACCTTGATAGCAGTTTATTTTGATCTGTTCTAGTGACATCAAGGCTGTAAAGGTGATGATGAACTCCTGTGGAAACAGTCCAGTAGTTGCCCAGAATGTCTCTGATTTTCTGTGGAGAAATCAGTCAAATTAATCTTTAAAAAATTAGCATTAACCAGCATGCATATAAGTATTATAGACTAAAATTCTAGCTCAACCAGCTCATCATCTCTTATTTGCCATTTGGGAATACTTGACAGCTTTTCTTGGAGCAAACTTGGCTACACGCTCATATCGACTGTGCCATACTTTTGGCTGGCCGAAATATCCACCCATAGATAAGTTTTTCAGACCTGGAAAAGTTGATAAGCACAAGTTTTTTTTTGTTGATTTGTGTTCTAGATGGGTATTGAAGTAAATTAAGCTTGGTTGCCAGCTTGGCAACCTTGGGCAACTTTTTTAATAGCCATATTAGCATTATTATCTAATTATATGTGCAATATGGAATAATGTTGCTAATCTCAATCCAGGAAGCCTGAAACCATGGATAATACAACTTTTCAAGGGTTTTCTATGACGATCATACAAAGTTCTGTTCGTTTAAAGGGATAGTTGAGTTCTTGTTTCAGACTGCAAATGCCTTCAAACTTCAAAGTGCATGGTTATTACATTGCCTGTTCTTGTTTATGACATTTCTAGTGCTCTGAAATATGCTATAATTTTAGATGCCAAAATGTGTGAAATTTAGCCAATACGATCATACCAATTTAGCTCCACTTTAAAAAAAATATGGTGACCGTTAATTAATTAATTACTTAATAATAACAATACACAGGCCAGCTGGTTGTGCGTATTATAACCAACACAAAAAAGCCAACATCAGCATTGGCTGGAATAAAACGTACATGTACGTATAAGGCGCTATCTCGTTTTTTCAATGGCTGGTTCAAATTATTTAATATTTGTGGGGCGCCACAAATATTAGAAATCGTTATATTTATGGATAGTTCAGCCGTCTCTGAACCAATTTTGATCAAACAACAATGATTTTCTTGTCATTTAAATTGTATGTTCTTTCGAATTTGACACTCAGTTTTTCATTATCTCACAAAAAAATTATTTTGTGTATATCGCTTTCTGCAACAAAACTCAACTATCCCTTTAAAGTAATGCTTGCATTTTCATAATTTTATTAAACAAATTTGTTTTCACTGGCTACCTGCCGCAGCAACAAACAACAAACTCTGTTTCGTTTACAATCAGCCATGCATGAAGTCTTCAAACAGAACTTTGTTATTCCTGGCTCATTTTCCTGATTGAGGTGTAATATGAAAAGGCAGATTATGACCTTTGTGGAAATGTGATTTTCTCTTTGAAATTAAGATACCGTCCGCCAAATGACTTTTTGGTACCCTTTGGTCAATTGTTTTTAATCACTCATGCATTAAATATGCATCATATGAGTTGCATCAAACGAAAGAGGAGGATCTAAGCTTTACAACTATGTGTCATTTATTAATTATAATTGTGATTAAGTTATGATAAAACATCAATGATTCTTGGTTTCGTTTTTTCTAGGACGCACTGTATAACACACTCATCTTGCCTTACATGTACATCCCGTCCATATCTTATTGTAACATTTTATGTTTTTTTTGTAAACAACATGTACTTATCATATTTTCCTCCTACAAAAAAAGAGCAGTACCTGTCAGTACATATAATTTTCCACAAGCTATTTCTAAGTTCTAGCAGGACTCTATCCTTGAAATTGAATATTCTTCCAATTTCATTTTTAACTCGGTGTTTTTAGGTATTCATAATTATCACAAACTGTTACCGGAAATTTGTTTGTAATCTATTTCAGAGCAACAGGGATATTCATAGATATAATACCATGAATTTAGCAGACATGTATTACATGGTCATTCTTCATTTTCAAATATGCCAAAGACCCACTATCTGGAACAAACTACCCCTAAAACTCAAACAGTGTGCATGTTTAAACAATTCTAAGCATAATCTAAAACTTCACCTGATACAGAAGCTTTGAATTTGACAACCACACTTTTTATGTAATTACCATTGTATTATTTTTTGTCTTCGTCCCTTTTTCGGGGTATGTTAATTTTATCTACCTAATTCCTCCCTTTTTTGAATTTGTGGGGGCGGCGACGTACCCTAGCCCCCGCTGCGTACAGTCATTATTCATTGGCTAAGCAATGACCTCGTTACTGAGTGTACCCAGGATCAAAACCATGTCGATGTGCTATTTAGTGCCCTTTTATGAGGCATTAATCCTCATTACTGTCATTGACTTAAGGACGTACCAGTATGTCCCCTAGTTGATTAGCATATAGTAGCACATACCGGTACCTGTTTTAGCAATCACGCAGAATGAACACTCACAAATTATTATTCAATAAAGTCTGAGAATGATACTATTTTCAAGATGTATTAGGAATAAATCATTTTCAAAATCATTCCCTAAATTGGGGTAAAAATAATTATTCCACCATTAAGACCAACAGTGTACTTAGGGGTCCACATGCATCCAGAGCAACCTCGTGAAACGGTTTAGGAAGATCAGAGACATCTCTGTAGTTGGCGGATAAAGTTATGACTGTCTTGTCGTTGGTTTCTAGGAAAGAGCCCCTAAATTATAAATAGCAGTAAAATACAATATGTCTGCGATAGGAGACAGACCACAGCCATCATACTCCCACAACAACATCAAATTTCACCTCAGATCGGACAAATAGAGCTACAATATTGATCTAGTCATGTCTCGATCTCTTAACTTAAAAGTTAGCACCTGCTGGAATTCCCATCGGCGACTGGTGTCGTAGATTTCCGACAAAGCTGACGGATACTTATTGGTACAAGTACTTATGCTACGGAGGTTTTCGGCAAAGCAGAACTTACCAGGGAATCCATGGTAGGTTTCAATCGCATATGAATTATTTGAATATATTTCTGGCCGCCCACCGGGGGTATGCAGCCTACCAGAGACTCTACTCTAGGCCTATGTGTTATAAGAACCTAGACTCTATCGCCAGCGTCCCTAGCAACTCGGACAATTTGAATAAATCGCCATGTTGTTTTTAATTGGAAATCACCCTTACCGTAAGACGAAACCATCATTCCAACCACTATTTTTAATTGTTATGTACCTTTTTGGACTACGTGTATACAAGGAAAGTATGAATGGCCAGCACCAGACGAGGATCAAGTACAGTAGGATTATTCCTTTTTTCGATACATTTTTTGACAAGCCATCTCCAAATGCATTCTTATCAAACTTTACCCTAAATCAAACTCAAAGTCATTAGCCTGAATCCAGGCCCATAGTCATCGACAACAACTTATGTTGCTGATTTAAGTAACACTAGTAGTCCTACTACTACTAGACCTACATGTAGATATACTAGAACTATAGTGCTAGTAGTACTACCAGACACCGAGGTAGAAGAGGTCGTAAGCCAAAATATCCTTGCGGCCTGTGTGAATATGCTGTTAAATCAACTGGTATACAGTGTACAAACTGTACGGCGTGGTTTCACTTAAATTGCAGCGACACCTCAAATGTAGAAGTGAATTTTCCTAATGTACACCCAGATGCAATATGGTTGTGCCCCGCCTGCGACATAAACCTTGCAAGCTCATTTTTTTACCCTGCCAGTGACTTTGCTTCTATATAGCCTCGACTTGCATGAGCAATCCCTTTGAAAGCCTTTCCTCATCCGATGAGAGTGGAAATGATCCTGTTGAGCCCCCTCGGCCTCGGCACAGAGTAAACAAGATTTTGAGATGTAGCAAATCCACGGAAAGTAAAACTGGAGAAATAATTAAAAATGAGCTGGTTCCTCCCATGAAGCTTTCTAGACGTGGGGATACATGGAAGTGTGTGAATTACGATTACGATTACGATCAAGAGAATAGGTTAGGAGTGGAAAGTTGTAGGCAAGTCTGGTAAATCTAATGCAGATGTACCTCCAACCCTACCTCCGGTAGTTTTATCAACAAGGTACTGCAACCACGCCCTCCACCGAATACTAAACAACCTACAAATAGGGACAGGAACATGCGTCCCCGCAAAAGTATTAAATGTATCCTTGTAAATTGTGATGGACTTTACAAAAAAATTCCTCACTTGGAAGCAATGATAGACGATCACAAACCTGACGTTATCATTGGAACAGAGTTGCATTGAAAACCAGACATCCTTAATTCTGAGGTCACTCCAATAGGCTTAACCACATACAGAAAGGATAGGACATGTGCTAGAAAAGGAGGAGTCTTCATCATGATAAGGGATACATGCACTTTCATAGCTACTGAATGCAGCAGTTGTACATCACAGACTGAGTTGATGTGGATCTCTCTACAAATTCAAGGTTTTAAGCCATTACTCATAGGAGTATTCTATAGGCCTCCCAACTCGGACAGAGAAAACCTCCCGACACCTCTCTGAATCCCTGCAGTACATGTACATCTCCAGGAGCATGAGAAACTCGACCATACTTGTTGCTGGTGACTTCAACTTACCTCACATCGATTGGTCCAACCGCACAGTTAAGCCCTATGCTAACGAAGGAAGAAAATGCTCCTGCCTTCTTGACATATGCAACGACTTTTACTTGGAGCAGATGGTCATGAGCCTACCAGAACATGCAGGCGCTACAGAGAACATCCTTGATCTTGTTCTCACTACCCATCCAGCCTTCATTGATGAGTGCAAAGTCACAGCAGGTATCAGTGACCACGACATCGTGAGCTTTAGAGTTAACCAAACTCAACTCCATCAATCTCAAGGAAGAAAGCTCGGAAAGTATTCATGTATAATAAAGCTGATACAACCGGCATGCATGCAGATCTCCTCAAGTTTCAGTCTTCTTTCCTACGTAGCAGTCCAGAACCTAGAACAGTACAGCAGAACTGGGATGACTTCAAAACAGAGATTGGAGACCTCATGGAGAGATACATTCCAACAAAGGTATCTGGAAAGAAAAGAACCAGTCCCTGGATCACAAACACCACAAAGAGAGGAGTCAGAAGAAAGCAAAGACTGTACAATAAAGCTAAAGCTTCAAAAACACCAGATGATTGGTATAAGTACAGTACAAGAAT